TATACATACACACATGTATACTATACATACAGCTATATAACATATACATACAGCTATATTACATACATACAGCTATATATACATACACACATGTATACATATACATACAGCTATACATACACACATGTATACATATACATACAGCTATATATACATACACACATGTATACATATACATACAGCTATATATACATACACACATGTATACATATACATACAGCTATATATACATACACACATGTTACATATACATACAGCTATACATACATACACATGTATTCATATATATACAGCTATATATACATACACACATGTATACATATACATGCATCTTTATATACATACACACATGTATACATATACATGTATCTATATATACATACACATGTATACATATACATGCATCTATACATACATACACACATGTATACATATACATGCATCTTTATATACATACACACATGTATACATATACATGTATCTATATATACATACACACATGTATGCATATACATACATCTATATATACATACACACATGTATACATATACATACATCTATATATACATACACACATGTATACATATACATATCTATATATACATACACACATGTATACATATACATATCTATATATACATACACATGTATACATATACATACATCTATAAACACATACACACGTATACATATACATACATCTATAAACACATACACATGTATACGTATACATACATTGATATATACATACACATGTATACATATACTTGCATCATCATATCTATATATATTTTTTCATATACACACTTGTATGTATATATCTATATATACTTATACATATATATCTATACATATTTACACATATGTGGCTTATCATCTGATATCATCCAATCATACATAAGAGATAAGGGCTATGTTGGGAGCAGAAATAAAACATTTATAAAATGTAGTCCTATATCTGAATTTCAACACATTTATGCAAAAGGTAAAACTGACCTCCTACAACTAGAAATAAATAATAAATAAAATTTGCCAATTTGAGCATGACCAGACTAGTACAGCTCAAGCTAATGCAATAAATATATTGTTGATTAACCCTTGTTCACTTTTTTCTCTTTAGAAATTTGTTTACACAGTTTCAGAAGTACTTACTTACTAAGGTCGTACTTAGTAGGCCTACTTGACCACACATGATTAACCTAACCTATCCCTTGAATTTCCTTTCTTTAAATAAAATATCAACTTTACTCTTATCATTATCCTAACTGCCATTGTGATTATCATCTTATCATTAATAATACAATTAGTATTCACAAACTGATAAAACTAAACTAAACAGGTAAGGTTTGTTAGACTTAAGGATTCGTTGGTACCATCTATTGTAAACAAAGTAAAACAAATAAAGTCAAAGTAAACTGAGCATGTATATATATCTACAATTCTTTATTCATTCACTCCACGTATTCATAAATCTAACGTTCATACTTCTGGTGCGATTTAAAGTTCTCTTTAGAAAGTGTTTCTCCAGTAAAAGGTTGTTCTTACTAGAATGAGAGCACTCAAGAGAATAGAATCTTAGATCTCCTGTGTAAATACAAAAGTATGCATACTAATGCTGCATTCGGAACTATGCAGCATGTAAAATAAAGACACCAGTATGATAAAAAAGTAATGTTTACATTCAAGCCGGTTGCATTCTGGGCAGAAAGGGTCTTGTAGGTTCCAAACGCGGCCTCCTTGTCCTGCTGGTCCTGGACATGTTATCTGGACGAGCAAGACGAGGAGTTCCAAACGCAGCATAAAATTGGTGGTTTTGTAGCTTTTACTTTTTTCTATTCCTCATACTGTTTACTAAACAAGAACTGCAAAACACAAATTCGTATCATCATCAAGTGACCACCTCGCACTTTTCAGCTTTCCATCAAAGACAAACAAGCATCACAAACATTCTCACAAGACAATGAGCTTGGATTTCTCTTGATGAACTGCTGGGGATCTACAGGCACTATCTTGCCAGCATGTGTTGGATGTTCACAGCATTTGCTGGAGCACTGAGTGTACCTGGGCCATGGTGATCACTTGAGTCACAGAGGTCTCTTCAAGTATTATCTTTACTTTATAAATTGGGGAAAGTTTTCAAATTAGGTACACCAGAAGCGATAACTAGGGAACAATAGTGCAGATGTCCATCAATGGTATTTTATTTGAAGAGCTGCTGCTTACCCCTCTTTCCCCTAATGCTGCCTTCTTTCCACTAAAATTCTGTGAAACTAAATTCAAATGTTGAATACACTGGCCATATATTTTTTCTTGTTATTACATTACACTGGAAATTAAATCACTGATGAATCTTCAATGATAAAAATACTTGGTCTGAGAAATGCGACAAATACGGACCAAACTTTCTTATCATCATCAGAGCATGATCTTCCATCCACATAAAATCCTCCGATTTACACTCGTCTTGAACACCTCCAGTCAAAATCCGTGAGAATAATACGGACCTGATAACTGCACCTTCACTGTCGTATTTTCTTTGCAGGCCGTTCCCCCATCACACTAATCCTAACGGTTTTAATACAGGTTTCCATTTACTTTCCACGAAAGTTGTGCCTCTTCCACCAGATCCACCACGCGTTACGTTACACTACGATTTTAAAAA